CACCCACCCATCTACACCCACACCCACCCATCTACACCCACACCCACACCCTCACCCAAGTGATGAATGAATAAATGTATATGACGAAGAATATCCTAAGAAAACAGTAGAATCGATATATGACTGAAATTGTCACAAAATTCAAGTATTTCCATCCTCGATGCGCTTTGTCCAATGACGAAATCAGATTTTTAATAAATCAAGTCGTTCTTTCATAATTTCGAGGGTGTCGATGTAGATGTTTTTGTTTCCCGAACTCACAACCAACCACACTCTAGTGCGAAAGAATTGATTTATATTTCAAAATAAGTAGCTTGTTGTGGGAAAATAATCTTCTGAGGAATAAATTACATCACATAAGATCAGAATGTTGGCATAAAAATCTAAATTTTCTTCAGATCAATAAAGAAAATGAAAAGAGAACTATTGGTATATTGAAAGCACATTGTTTCAAGTTCCATTCAATCTACACAGTTCTTAGAGTAGTATGGATTTTGTGCAGGCTAAAAAGTGTCATGTGATTGTGTTATTTACATGACACACAAGAGAATCTGTTACCTTGGTAATATAGTCATATTTTGAATATACCAATACACATGATTGTTTTCTTTCATGCGATAACTCAAGTATCATGCCAATTATTGGCATACAGATTGCATATTTCCAAGCAACTGATGTTTTTTTTTTCAGTTTCTAAGATATATCTTTTTAGATACAACAGTATTGAAAGTGCTTTACAGAAAAGTAGTCATTTCTCTAATGGATTCTAATAGGATAGAACATCCATCGTGGTTTAACACAAGACAGATTGAATCTGATTTATATTTAACAACAGAAGATTATTATTATTACGGTAATCGTTCGAATAGCTGGCTTATCCGTGGAACAAGTCGAGATGTTATTATTGATACTGGCCTCGGTCTTTGTAATTTGAAACAACATTTAGAAAGACTTGGACTATTAGATAGTAATCGCGAATGTATTGTTATTTGTACACATTCTCATTTCGATCACAGTGGTGGTGCACATCATTTCGATAATGTACTAATTCATCAAGGTGATTATGAAGGATTGAGTACTGGTGACGAATTAACAACACTAAACTGGTCCCGCCCATCACATTATCATGCTCAACCATACGCAAATTTCTCTGCAGATCAATATAAAGTTCCACCAACAAAATGTAAGCCTATTGAAGATGGTCATCGAATTAATCTTGGTGCTGATGATGACGAAATAGAAATAATACATGTACCTGGCCATACACCTGGTAGTATTGTTTGCTATTACCCAAAGAAACAGGCTTTATTTACTGGTGATTTTGTTTATGATTGTGAAAATGGTAAATATCTATATGATCATTTACCAACATCATCTATTAGTGATTATTTAAAAAGTGCCGAGTACATGATTGATTGGTTATACAAACATAAGGAAGTAGAAAAATTTTATCCTGGACATTATGAGACACTCAATAGAATGCGTTTTGAACAATTATTGGAGCAATATATTTATTCAAAACAATAGCACATTAACTTTTCTTCCAAAAAAAAACACTTCCACAAAAACTAATAGTCCAGAGGCAAAAGCCACTATGATTCTCTCAGCAAACGGTTCTGAAAAACCAATGATGATTTCTAATAACTTATAGATAATAAAAATTAGAAACTCTTTCTTACTATATATTAAAAAAAGGCAAAAGAGAAAATTTACATTCGAACACAGTTTTATCTGTTGCTCTTTGCAATTATTGATTTAGTTACTAAATGATTCATCTCTTTTGCAGATTAAAGTAGTTAAAAACTTTGCTGTTCACTGACTGTTTCGGCAAGGATGCTCTAATAACAATTAAGATCGAGTCAACATATGTCATATATATAAGATTTATTCAGAGGCACTCTTGATATTTGGGTGTGAGTGTGGGTGTGGGTCTGTAGATGAACAAATCATTCACACCCACATCCACATCCTTATGATATTCGCTAAAGAATTTCACATGTCCTCTTTAAATAGACTTAAATAAGTTCTAGACAATGACTCGATCATCAGTGAAGCTGACTTGACATTTGCATGAATTTTATAGAAATACTTTAATAAACAAACTTGCTAAGTATCTTAATCGTGGATTATTTGTAGAGTACTAGATATTTAGCATCATTCTTCTTCATAGATATAATCGCTTTTTTTATTTATTTAGAAATAATTTTCAATTCGAAATAAAATCAACTGCTTAGTTAACATACTATTGAGGGTGTGGGTATGAGTAATTTGTTCATCTGCAGATTCACACCCACCCATACCCCCTCCACACATACTTTGTGTATTATTTTCAGTTCGGAAGCAACAGCTCAGTCAATATTTTTTAAGTCAAAGAGATAAAGCTTGTTGTTTTTAAGTGACGCAAGTCTGCTGTCTCTGCATGAATTCCAGCGGTAGTCTCGAGGCATGATGATGTTGTCATTTTCATTGGTAAATTGCAGTTGACGGAGGTATTCTACACTTCTTTTGCCAGCTTTTAATACCAAAAGGAAATGTACATTATTGTCTGTATAGCATTTTTTAACAAGTAGTTTATTCCCATTAACGAGAAGCATATCAACGCCATTAATATCGTGCATCTAATAATCAGTTATCGTGAGGTTGGATATCTTTACGAACGGGAACTGACTATAATATCAAGTACATACCTTTTTTTCGTTCACAACATTCATTGCATAGCAGTCATCCATAAACTTCAATCCACTATGGGTAGGTTTATATTCATATACCTTGTTGCCTTGATCGTTCCACTTCACCAATCCGGAACTACCAATACAGTTATCGTCTCAACAAAAATTTCCAAATATGCCCTCATCAAAGTATGACGTCCATATAAATCCATCCTTGTGAGTGTGAACCTTTTGAATTCCAACACCCAATAATACTTGAGAAAGTGTATTCCCCTCTCTATCAAATATTCTTCCATTATAATCCGCGGAACCTTCATCATAGCGTCTGCACCTCGTAGACACTAGAAGAAAGCGATCGTCCGGTAACAGTGCCACTAAATGCCAAAAAGCTTTTACATTAGGGTCTTGATTGGATACGAATGTCAAATCTTTTTTATGGACTTTAATCTCATGTGAGTAGCCGTTTTCCACATTCACGTGTAGTATTTTGTAGTATTCCGTTTCATTTTTAGTCATTAGAAAAAGAAAGGAACCATCATGACATAAAGTAAAATCAAGTAGTTCCCAATTATTTAATTCGTCAGAACAATCTCGATAGACAAGTAAATGGCGCTTTCCTAGGTTATTACTATCCATACCTGTAGGTTTGGCGATATTATTATAGAAACAAACTAGAAAAGCAATTTTATGATTGATTTCATCAGAAATTTACACACAAAAATAAATACTGACACTTATTAAATATCTGACGGACGCTTATCTCCACTTTTATTTTTGGTATGCAAGCTGAGTTGGTGGAAGTAAGTGCGTGAAGGTGTGAATGTTGGATGTGGGTTTGGATCCGTGAATAGAATTATAATAGTCATAACTACATTCCAATCACATCCAAGCGGAGCTTGTCGGATCATTTTCGGACGTTATCCGTCTCAGGAGTCGACTGCAATGAATTTGACGCAAACTCTGTCGGATACGAGGAGATTTTATCAAGGATATTTGTGTCCTATCCTGCTCTGATGTAGGATCCGACATGGTCCAATCGAAGCTACACGTCGGAGGGTGTGGGGTGTGTCTATGGCTTTTCTATTTTCCAGCTACATCCACACCTACACCAGCATTAGCAAGGTTGAAAACACATGCTTGAACAACAGAACACATTCCATATTTACACTTAACTTCGAAACAATTTCGTCATGAAAAAGAATATGATATACATGCTTAGTTGAATCGATTCAGCGAAGAAATATTGGGTATTAATAATAAAGACAGTCTTCGGAAAAGAATGCTATTTCAAGATACTTACAATTATTTTTGTATTCACTATAAAAAATTCATGTAAAATAAAAAAACCCTTCAAAAGAATTTTTTATTCTACGGTAATTTTTTATAGTGTTGGCACAGAATCTTCTGTGCTGATGTCCAAACTAACTGCGTACTGTATCATCGTTTTTCGATTGAAAAAATGAAAAAGCTGTTTTGATTCTATACGTATCGAAAAAAAAACCAATTTATATAGTGTCATTTATCTATGTGCTTTAATTATCTGATCAGTGTATGTTATCTCAATGATTGATTTTTTTGTTCCCATAAAAGAAAATTTTCTTTCGTTATTCTATCCTTCGTGGTTGGTTTCATTTATTGAAACTCTTCAACAATCCTGTGAATCAGATACAGCTCATCGTGATCTGTCAAATGATTGACTCAACCTTTTAACAACATCCATACCATTTTTTTTTCGGATAGTTTTTCTCGTAGTTGTGAATTTTTTTTTCAATTGAAGGTCTATTCATTTGAAACATATTCATACATTTAGTATTCAAGCTCTACTATCCGAAGGTAAAAAGAAATTTGAATCTATGTTATGTATTTTTGAAATGTCGATCAAACAAAAAAGTAGTACGAGACTTTTGATGTCTATTGTATATGTTAATACTGTTAAGAATATTTAATAAAATAAGATAATTAATGATTTAATTTGATTGATAAAAATATAAATGATAACGAAAAACCAGAATAGTACTTTATAAATCTTAAAAAATTGAATTAATTTTTTAAGATTTTATATTCAACGAATGAACTTGATATTATAATTCGAACACTTCGTATAAATGATGCTCTTGATGTAACATTATATGATTAGTATGATACAATACAACAACGTTCAACATCTACACCACTAGGAAATTATCTTTCAATCGATGCTCAATTACCTTATTTAGAAAGAACAGTTTGTTGAATTTTAAATAACCAAAAAAACAAACAGAATAATTTATTTTTGTAAAATGTGGGTGATAGTATCAGTTGAAAAAAGTAAACGTCTTGGTTTAGTTATTCGTGGTGATGCTGAATATGGTCTTGGAATATTTATATCAGGTGTTGATAAAGGTTCTCTTAGCGATCAAGCTGATCTTTCAATAGGGGATCAAATATTATCTGTTAATGGAATTGATTTTCGTCATATAACACATGCAGACGCTGTTCAATTATTAAGAAATCTTGATAAAATGTCACCCATAGCGTAAATTTTTGCGAAAAAAACGCGTTCTGAAAACGCGTTTTTCCATAGCTGCAAAACGCGTTAATGCTGGCCGGTTTAACGCGTTTCACATTTGCTAAAATAAACGTTGCGAAACGATTTTTTCTTAAAATCATTTCGCATTGTTTCTGAATCTGTGGTATTGCATACTTTGAAGGATAGAAAAAAACAAAACCCGTCAAGTACTTCGTAGAACTCAACTTGCAGGTGCGATCTATGTACTGATTTACATTAATTCATAGAATTATAGAGTTAACTTACATTAGTTTCGATAAAGTTAAGAGGTGGATTCGAACAGGAGAACATAAGAGTAGAAGATATGTATACAAACCGTTCAACTAAAATAGTCGAATGATATAACTGTTTGCTCTATTCTTATTTAGATGTCTTGTACAAATCTATGATTCGAATAAATTTTGTTTCACGTCTGAATGAATCGATGAAAATGATATTCTGTTTGCTGCTTTTATCCAAGGAAGAGTGTCATTTTCCGTCAATTTATTTTAAATTTAACTTTTAGAAATTTAAATTTGTAAAACTTTATTTTTTTAAAGTTTAAATACCCAATTAAAATGAATTTAATTTCATATAAATTGAATTAAAAATTTTAAAAAGATTAAATTTCGTAAATTTAAATCCAAAAGAACTGTAATCGTAATTTTGCAAAATTTGCAAAGTTTTTGTTGAATTGAATGTTTTTTTTTAAATGTAAATGCATGATCACTAAATCCGAGTGCAATCATAACTACAAAAATATTTTTTCTGTAATTCGAATCTCTTTTATCAAAAAGCCGCACTTACATACATCGATAGTGTACGAACGATAGTGATATTCTAGTCATGTTTCAGAGAGTATATAATCAGTTACTATAACGCAGTCTATACATAAATTACCAATAATTATTATTATAAATCGTAAATTATCCGAAAATACTTTTTTCACACAACAACATTGAGCTGTCCTACGGATTATTTTTGCACCAGTCTTTACTGAATTTCTTCAAATTCTTCAACATTTTACAGAATTCTAGATTCAATGCTACGAAACGCGTTTTCTTTGAATAAAAACGTAGTGAAATGAGTTTTCTAACAGAAGATAACTGTAGAATACACTCTGATGTTCAATACTAGCCTAACTTCGAAACAGTCTTAGAAAACGACGTAATTCGTTGTAGTTTTAGAAGAACTTAATTATGACCTTGGCTAAGGAAGATCTGCACCGCCATCCTGAGAATCAAAAACAATGCAATCAGCAATTTTTTTGTAAAACCATTTCGCATAATTTCCAAAATCATATCAGAGTTGACTTTTCTTAACTCACATGCTTTTTGAAGATGAATTGGTGCGAGATGCTCTAACAAAAGAGATCAGTTTTGCATCATTCGAAGCGTAACCCATGCAAATGCATTTTAAAAGGACCTGTTTCGCATTTTCTCCGAGTTGTGACTCTGTACAATGCTTCTCTTGTCGACTTAATGAGTTTAACAGCGTTTCATTTGGGAAACGCTTCGAAACATAATCGCAAAAAGAAGCGTTTCGTATCGTTTCAAAACCTCAAGGCAGCAAAACGCGTTCTATATAAGTAAAAATACTGTGAAACGCATTCCGTCTCGAAGAAACGCTGCGAAACGCATGTCCCAACCTTGGAGACGCGTTACGCAGTGCGTTTCCTTAAAAATTTTACGCCATGGGCATTTCATTTATGACAAATAAATAAATTACCTAAACCAAAAGATAATATTAAAAAATTAAATTTAAAATTAAGTAAAACAAGTCCTCGTTTATATCCAAGAATAATAAATAAAACAAAATCTCAATATGATTTATCATCAACATTTCAAAATAATTTTATTAATTCAAATAGAAATTTATTTCAATTAATTATTAATAAAGATGATCAAGCTAAAATAAAATATCTTATCAATCAATATCAACTTAATGAAATTCATATTGATCAATCAATTCAACTTTTATGATTTATTTTAAATAAAACAATATCAACAATATAGAGTAATGCTTTATAAAACATCATTCATTAACGATGTTCGATTAGATATTTTAATCATTTATTTTTATTTTTTACTTTCAATCACTTCTCCATTGCATATCACTTTTTCTTATCATTCTTCTTAAATTTTGCTTTGATTTATCTTATTTATAATAGAATTTTGATGAAAACCAAAAAGCATTTTAATTCATATCATTCGTGTTGATGACTAAGCGAAACAACAATAGGTATACTTCGAAATTCAAATATATACTAATATCATTATTATTCTTACGAGTTGTTTCTCATATATTTATCTTGCATTATTGGTTAAAAGCATTTTCAAAACAACTCGACGTCAAAATTCTTAATCGTTTTATTTAATAAATATATCAAATACAAGTAACGTTCATCGACATCGAAGGTCTATTCACTGGGCCCTAGACTGAGGGAAGGGTGACAAGCAGATAGTTGTATTTCGGCGGTCATTTGGGCCGAAAAATGGTCATTTGTATCAAGCCCTTGTTACAAACAGACAGACGGACAAACAAACACAGGTGAATTACGGTTTCTAAACCCTAGCCTTTCAGACTATGGAAGAGCAAAATTTAATTCTATATTATTTTCTTTTTCTATAATATTGACATGACAACGGAGATTAGATTCATTGATTCTTAAATACTTTTTAAAAAACTATCGAATATGACTCTAAAAGAAAACATCAACATGGTGTGGGTTAACGAGAAGAGGAACGCCCACACCCCTATTTGCTACATGATGATTTACAAGACGCGCGCAAACAAAAACATTAATGAATCAGACTTTTTATTACAAACATGTACAAATAGAATGTAGAAGAAGTAAAAACGATATATTTATGTTGACTTTAGCTTTTGTTATCAAACGAAGGAGTTACATTGAAAATAATTGGTCTTTTTCATAAAATTAGTGTCATCTTATGATAAGAATACATTTTCTTTATATTAAACTACTTTGACTCTTAGTAAATAAACTCTGCTCTGATAAGAAATTCTTTTGTTTGACAAAGATATGTAGGAAAGAAAAACTCAAAAAATGCAAATGTCGACATAATATTTCATAGATAACAAATAAAAAATCATCACGTTGGTTTAAGACAGAAGTAAGTTAGAAAATGACAACACATATAACATTGATATTGTATGACATAAACAGTATCGAAGAAAATATCTGTAAAGAATTTTTTAAGTATCCGTGTATAATCTTCCATGATCAACAACGTTGTATTAATCATATTTTCTCAGTATCAAAAAATGAAACATCTTTTTTAATCACGTCGATGTCAAGTGCTATTGAAATCTTACCAGCTATAAATAGTTTAAGACAATTAGATTCAGTATTTATTTATTCAATTGAAGAAAAAGATGAAAATTTCTTAGATAAATATTCAAAAATAATTGGAATCTTTGATCAACAAATAGACTTATTTCGATCTATCGAAGAAAATACTGATTTAGCTATAAAACAAGTCGAATCATTTAAATTTTATGAAAAAAATCAAAAATCGACGCGTGAATTATCCAAAGAATCTGGTTCATTTCTTTGGTTAAGATTATTCAAAGATATTGTTTTAAAATTACCACATGATGAACAATCAAAACAAGAAATGATTGAAAAATTAAACGAAATTTATCGTAATAATAATCGTCAATTGAAATTAATTGGAAATTTTAAAAACGAATATAAATCTGAAGATGCTATTCGATGGTATACAGGACAACCATTTCTCTATAAACAGTTGAACCGTGCTTTACGTACAGAAGATATTGAATTATTGTATAAATTTCGTTATTTTATATCGGATCTTTCGAAAAATCTTTCCAATGAATATGAAATATTAAAGGATTCATTTGATTCAAAAATAACTTTTTACCGTGGTACGAAATTATCAAATGAAGAAGCAAATAAATTAGAAAGAAATCTAGGAAAACTTATTTCAACAAATGGATATTTATCTACGAGTCTTTCAAAAGACGTTGCATTACAATTTACTGATAAATCAACAGATACAGAAACAAGTGTTATTTTTGAAATTGAATGTGATCTTGGAAAAACTAATACAGTTACTATGGCTTCTATAGCTCATTATAGCAAACATTCAGATGAACAAGAAGTTTTATTTGATTTAGATGCTGCATTTGAAATATTATCTGTTGAAAAAAATTCATCTTTGAATGGTTTAGTAGTTAAATTGAAAGCAACAGATGAAGGAGCAGAACTTGCTCAAGAATATATTCAGTATCATGATAGAAAATTAAATACAACAAGTGTAGTAATCATGTTTGGCTATCTGTTAGCTGAAGTTGGACAATACGACAAAAGTGAACAATATTTTGAGCGTTTATTAAAAAATCCGAATGGAGAAGATATACCATTTATTTATTATTATATGGGTGGAGCCAAAGTTGATCAGGGAGACTACGACACTGCAATGAAATATTATCAACAATCATATGATATGTTAATAAATGCACAACCACAGCGTGAATTAGCATCATCTTATGTACTGAGTGATATTGGTTGGATTCTACATATCAAAGGACAATATAATGAAGCTCTTGATCATCATAAACGTGCTTTAAAAATTAGAAAAACCTATTCAAATTATTTGAGTGTATCAAGTTCTTTGACAAACATTGGGATAATTTATAAGAAAATAGGGAAGTATAACGATGCATTAGATTGTCTCAAAGAATCACTTCAAATCAAAGAAAAATATCTTCCTCATGTACATCAAGAAATAGCTAAAATATTAAGTACTATTGCTACTATATACAGTGATATGGATGAACTCGATAATTCATTGGAATATCATCAGAAAAGTTTAGAAATGATCGAAAAATGTCTTCCATTTGAACACGAGAATATTGCGATAAATTTAAATCATATTGGTACTATTTTAACTAAGAAAGAAAAATACGATGAAGCTTTAGATTATTTTATACGTGCTCTAAAAATTAAAGAGAATATTTTTCCAAATGGACATTTATCTATTGCTTTATCTCTAAATAATATTGGATATATTTATTATAGAAAAAAAGATTATACTCTTGCGCTTGATTATTTCGAAAAGTCAATGAATATGAGAGAAAATTTATATTCCGATATAAATAATCCTATGTTAATTAACCTTTTAACAAATTTTGGTTTAGTTTACCTCAAATTACATAAATATGATAGTGCGTTGACATATCATGTGCGTGCTCTAAATGTCAGTAGAATTATATTACCCAGTGGACATTTCACTATAACTGAATGTCTTACGAATATTGCGATTGTCTATCGAGAAATGAAAGATTATGTTAAAGCATTTGAATATTTCGAAAAATCTTTAAAAAATGAAGGCAAAAATCCTACGAAAGGCAATATGCTTCGATTAGCTTACAATTATGATAATATGGGGGTTTGTTTGTGTTATCAAGGTGATGCTCAAACTGGATTAGAATATCGAATGAAAGCTATAAGATTACTTGGAAAAGTTTATCCTCGTTTACAATATGCACGTACAGCAGATACCATTGGAGATGTATATTTGGGTTTAGAAAGATATGATTCTGCTTTGGAATGTTTTTATATTAGTTTGAATATCAAATTAAAATGTTTGTCAGCCAATGATGTTAGAACAGCAGAAACTTTAATGAATATTGGTGATGTTTTCTTTGAAAAAGAAAAAAATGAACGTTGGAAAAGTAATGAACAATATAAGATTAAAAGTCGATTTTATTATGAAAAAGCGTTAGAGATTTATACGAAAAACAAACATGTTAATACTATTCACACTTTAAATCGTATTGGTATTATTTATGAAGAAATACATAAATACCATGTAGCACTTCAATATTATAGAAAAGCATTAGAAACATTCGGGACAGATATACTATCCGATGATTCTCTTAAAGAAATATGTGAAAATAATGTCGCTCGGATTAAATGGTTAATGAACTAGTTTATTCTATTTCTTTGATTGCGTACTCTAGGGTCTAGTAAGTTAAATAAAAACCAATAGTGCCTGTCTGTACACGTGTAAAAGTTTATAACATATTTGTAAAATCGTTATCTCTCTAACGCGTCTATATCTTTTTGGAGAGTAGTTGATATTTTCATAACGATATTCCTATTTGGCAGACATAGCAAAGAATGTCGGGTTTCTGATTTTTGTCTGGATCATAAAAATACTTCTTTGTATTATTTTTAGATTGGTTTCCTTCTTAGACTGAATTTTTCACGGAATTTTAGTTGTCTTGAAGCTTCACTACTGTTTAACTTTTGCACATATGGGTTGTTTAGGTATTTGTACGTTGGATCTGATGAAGATTATTTATGGATGTAAAAAATAATTGTGATTTCGAATCGGTTTAGGAGGATGTGAAATGGGTGTAGTTAGAGAGAATACACATTCACACTCAAGATTATACGAAGAGTTTAAAAACCGATGAGAAAAACTCTTTGATAGTTGCCATTATAAAGAAAGTCGAGGCATGAGCCCAGCTCATCGAATCTTTTAAAATAACTGATGACACGACGACGGTCATTGATTCAATCATACATCTTATTCCGATTCGAATCGAGCCAAACTACTTTAGTGTGTACAGTATTGGGTATCGGATGACTATAAACGAATGGATTCATCGTGTGATCACACAGAGCGAATGTTGATAATGATATGCATTTGCTTTCTGGGTATGTTTTGGTCCTTTCATCACAATCAGGTGTAGCTGAAAGGAAACAAGATAAGAAACACAGTAAAGAGCAACAAATTATTGTTTATATAAATTAAAATATCAGCATGAAGATTTAATATGCGATTTTTGAATGTAATCTACTATCTTCTATATTAATTATGAGTATTGATGCATACTTTCTATTGTATTATGGGTGTCGTATACGCTAAACTTATAACCAGAAACGTGGGTGTGGGTGCGGATCTTCTGTTTATCCACATCCGCACCGAAATCCACACCCACACCCTTATCCTTAAAGAAATAGAGAAATAAATTGAGTTCATAAATAAAATTTTTTTGTTGAACACATGTATTCTATCATATCTATCCAGTGGATAATATTGATTGAAATTCCAATAAATAGAAGCATTTCGAAATACTTAGCTCAGCTTAATGACGAAAACAGAGAAGAGTTAGTATTATGTTATTTTGAATGTTAATCACACTTCTTATTTATGTCAAATAGATCAATTTTAAAACTTAATCAAATCAGGTCTTCCATTTTAAAAAGAGAATGTCGTCCTGAACAACATGCAAAAATACGATAGGTCTAGTACAAATTTTTATTCGATGGTGTCATATTTGAAAATAAAGATTCGATTGAATTTCTCTAAGTAGTCAATCACATTGTTACCAGAGATCAAACAGATTGAAGTGCCTTTATGAATCTACTTAAATTAATTGAACTGGACGGATCCTTTTGAATATAAAATATTAGTGTGATCTGCTATAGAATACTTTTTTTCTTCATATCTAGGCTACTAGTTTTTATCATTAAAAGCTCTCTTCACACTATTATTATTTTCACATCGGAAATAAGTTTTGTTAAGCGTTCATATCCTCAAAAAGGTCCTTCTAATAATCTAATTTGCAAAAAAGAATCTAGCGCATTACAGAAAAGAAAATTCATGTGAAATACTTTGCGGTGACTTTTTTCATCACTTAACGACATCAAACAGAAACATCCAATGTTCTTTTTTTATCACGAATAACTGAAGTTAGTTTGCAACATGATATTGGAACCATTGATTAGAGCCCTGCGGTTCCTAACATCGTTTCCTTATCCTCTACATGATCATGATCACAAAGAACAATATCATCTTCGTTACTCATTCTAAACGTCTTTTTTATTGTTGTAGCAATATATTGTTATTTAGTTAGGACAGGAGATTGTAGAAGATGACTGTTCAAACCATCTTTCTTTTCATTTCAGTTGTATCAACTTCATCAATTTTTTTCCATCACATGATTTTAATAATGCTAAATTTGTCTGAAAAATTAATAATAGGGATATTTTTTGCACCAAGATTGATGCGTTTATCGATACTTGTGTTTTCTGCAGACGAGAAACGTCTTTCTACAATGTTGTTCGATGCTTATATAGCATAAAAATTTTGAGCTATAGAAAATTAGATCGTTAACGTTAAATTCTGTTGCCACGGGATTATTAAACATCATCATGTCCACTAAATGAGACATTTGATGGCATATATTCATCTAACTCATACGTTGTTGTTGGCAATATTAAGAAATTTTGTAGTATATCAAAACAGTATGAAAGAAGACCTTTTGATGTTGTCGATTGAGAATCAAGTGAATCTGTATGGACAGATGGTGGAGTAGTCGTTGTAAATGTAGTAGATAGTATTGTTCATTGCCGTTTAATAATTTTCGTTTTAACTAATTTAAGAGCTTTTCCTTGAAAACCAGGATTACTACGAAAACTTTTCATGAATAAATGACGGAAGGTACTGATATAATGCGCATCTTGCAACATCCGCACATCTTGAAACTCTCACCCTCAAGAAAAAGTTCGGTTCCTAACGGTTCCGGTTCCGATTCTGGGTAAGAGAAGCAGAAAAATCCGGTCCTCGGTTCGGTTCTCGGTTCTATTTTTTTTGGAACCGCAGGACTCTACCATTGATCTTTTAAGATTATTGTCATAATATAATCGAATTATATAAGAAATACTTTACGTCTTTCTACTTGTTCTTCGCTATAATGAATACGTCAAACTACTTCTTTCTTGATATATGAAAGAGCAATATGCAGTTTTGCAGTTTTGGTAGAAAACCAACGATTTCCACTGTTCGATTATTACCTCCTTAACAATTCTTTGTACAAGAGTACTAGGCGTAAATTGATTCGGCAGTGTAGAAAGGTGTGGGTGTGGAAGTTGATCCTTTCTCTTTCAATACTCCATGCCTATACCCTGCTACGTAGAACATTTTTAGATTATTGAAGAACATTACACAACGTGTTATGAGTAAAATTAGAATAGTAAAGAAGAAGACCAAAAGTGAATGCAAAATGATGTCAAAGTTAGAAATGAAATATTCTATCAATAACTTTTCTTATGACTTTCATTCATGGCTGAAAAAGATAGACAAAATGACTTGAAGTTTTCATTGGCCTACAATACATTACTAAAAATATAAGTAATTCGCTTATAAGAATCGCTTTCTCATTATTTTGTCAGTCTATCATTTCATGTTACAGTGTAATTGTTATTTAAAATAATTAATCATTTTCTTATTTCTCATTTTAATACAAAAGGAAAAATGTATCGTAAAAGAATTCCCTAACTTTATAACATGTTGAAAAGGATGAGTAAATAAGCAAATGAAAAATTAAGAAGAAGAATTCATTTATAGATATCATCTAGTTTAAAAGGTTGTCTTTTTGCCTCTTCTCATGAACAATCTATCTCGCTTTCTATGTTTTAGTTCTTTCTCCTTCGATATTTCGTTCAAGAAACAGATAGATAGAAAAAATGTGTGACTCTGATTTAATTTGCCACATTCTTTTCAAAGATGTAACTTTTATTGTGTAACGATGAGATGAAAAATTTTTATCTCCGTAATATATATATATCTCATCTATTAGAAAGAAGTATGCAAAAATATATTTAGACACCTGCATAATCAAGTAGAATTAAACTAAATGCTATTACACACATCCCAAATAGTATGGAATAAGTAACTTTGTCTCTTGATAGACAAAAACGATGGGCTGTAGGAATTAGTTCTTTGATAGAAATAGTCACCATCATACCAACAACCAAACCAAACATGATTCCGTTTACATTTGCATTTAATCCATCGCCAGCAATCAACCAGCCAATGATTCCTCCAACAGGTTCGGCAAGAGCAGATATAAATGTCCAACGAAAAGCCTTGAGTTTAGATCCGGTGGCAAAATATATTGGTGCTGCAACTGCAACACCTTCAGGAATATTATGTAATGCGATGGCAATGGCTAACGCTATACCTAATTTTGTATCCTTCACAGCTCCGGTATAAGTTGTAACACCTTCTGGAATATTATGAATCGCAATTGCTAATGCAGTCAATATACCCATACGATTTAATGTTTGTTTAGTTGCCCCATCTTCACAGTCATTCTTTTTTCCATGTGAAGTTTGTAGTTCGTCGAGACCTGATCCATATTTTGAATCAATTTGAGAAAATTTTTGACGAAAAGTATTTATTTTGTCTATGCTCAGTTCGGTATCAATATCAGGAGAAATTTTATGAATGATAAAATCGATTAAAAGAATTATTCCAGCACCACTTATGAAACAAATTGTTGCAAACACTTTGCTATTTCCTTTACACATTTTATCACAGGTTTGCTCGTTTTTCCCATCAAGACCTTCCTGAAACGCATTAATACTTTCTCCAAAGATATCTCCCAATGCAATAAAAATCATCACTCCAGCAGCGACTCCAAAAGCAATACCCAAGCTGGACGGATTAGCAAGATATACTAATTTTTTATTGAAAATGATAATTCCTCCAATACATGTTGATAATCCTGCTGCAATATTCAAACCAAATGCTAATGCAACTCTACTTTCGATTGCAACCATTTTCTCTTCTCTTTGGAATTCGCTTTCTTTAATGTGATGATATGATACAATTTGTTTCTTTTATTTTATTATTCTTCGTATCTATCAGAGTATGTCGACTTTTGTGAGAATAAAATAGAGAAAGTTTCGAAGAACAATATTCTTTCTTAGACTTACTTTCTTGTATTATGGAAAGGTGCTGGCTTGCTGGTTGAATTAATTCTTGCTGATAATTGCCTGATTTGTTGGTTGAGTTTTGCTATCTAATTTGCTATTAATAGGTACACTCTAAAAAACAAGATTTATTACCAAACATTAGGAGTTTATTCAAGATGAAAATACGAAACTTTTATGGTCTCGTAAAATGAGAGTAGAGATTCGTACTTTTCACATGAAAACATTTTAACTATTTTTGGATAGAAGAGTTAGCGATGATAGCACTACCCTTTATTGTATTCCTTTATATTAAGAATTGCATCGTTTACATACAATGCATACGGTTATATACTCGTCCATAAAAGAGAAGAAGAGAATAGGAAAGGAAACGACAACAATGATAGAAATATAAGGACAATATATAAGATGAAAAGAAATAATAATAAGAGGAAAAACATCATGCATAAAATGCATGCTACGGAGACGTTACAAACATCTGTCGGTCAAATGATAAAAATGCTTTGTATCTTTCCTGCAGAATTCAATGTTTTTATGTAGGATAAGTAATGATTCTCATAAAAGGTCTTTTTACACGACTAGTTTCAAGACTCACTTGAATATAATAACCTTGGCCGAATGTAAGAGGCAACGATGGCAAAGAAGAAAAAGCGAAAAGAAATAGAAGAGAGAAACCAAATATTAATAAGCATCGCAATACGAAGACATGTGTGTCACAGGAAAAAAATCGAAGCATGTTGGTGTAACTAGAAGGACAAGAGAAAGAGAACGATCGAAAGAAATGAAAGAGAAAAAAGAAAAAGAAAATTGATTAATCTCCATCTGAGAAAAGAACAAAAGAAAACAAACAGCATGCGGTACATATACGAAGCTAAAATTCAAATGATAAATGTAACGAGAAAACAGATTTAGCTATATTTCTTGGATACAAATAAATCTGCTCTTTTCTAGTGTTGTTTGTGAGCACTGTTTAAGATAAATAAACGAATTAAGAGAATATACAGATACTATTGTAGAGACACATGAAATCCCACAATGATATATAGAATTAGCACGAAAAACTAGCCGTCAATAGAGAATAAATATTTACAAAATACAAATTTTTATTATTCGTTGTATTTCTATTGCAAATTTTTTTTCAAATTTGAGAGTTGTGATATTAAATTTAAAAGCTCTAGTTTGTTTTGTTTTATTCAAATCTGCATACTAATCGCTATAATTTCTATGATGCTAATCAATCCGTGAAGGTATATACACGGTACGATTAAAGTTCAGAAGAACGAATTTTATTATTCAATTCATTACATTGGCTAATTTGTTTCAATTTACAAGATAGCTTTTTAGCAACAAATTGGAGCAGTTAAATGCGACAAACCAAACCATCTAATTTTAAAAGCGAATCAACAAAACAGTTCTATCCGAGTCGTTTAAGACGTTTCATCTTGAACTGAATTATAATATTGCATATAGGGCCATCCGAATAACTGTCTAATCAAGCATCTCCATCAAAATTAATTAGACTACACATATGAACTTTTTGAAATATTTTCTTCCTATTCAGCATTTTTTCATAAATTTTTGACATTTAATAAAAAGAATTTTTCATTGTGCGATTTCATGTACCTCTACGATGGTATCCATATTCTTCTTTAACTCGTTTATTTTCTTTAAACGATAACGATAGTTGTTTCTCAGCAATCGATCTTTATTGTTGTTCAATTAATTAGAAAACTGATAGTGTACTTGAAAAATTATTAAATAAAGCAAAAGTTTGATTTCATTTATATGTTTCGTGTTACTTTTTATTTTAAACACACTTGAGAACTCTGCATTACAATTAAAAGCACAAAGGATATTTAAGCCTTGATCCAGATATATCTTTCAAGATTCGGAACTATATATCAGCTTGACCATTTTCTAGAAAACTTTATATCCATAACTATAGATTAAGTACGAAAAAATTTTAATGTAACTTGATTTAATTTAAAATATGATGTAACATATTGTCTCTCTAAGATTTTTGATAATATTTTCTAGATATATTCCATAATCACTATTGATTAATGCAGTGGTATAGAAAGGAACTTTTCAGCCGTGGACCATTTCCCAGCTAAACTATTCTGAAGATTGGGCAACATTTTGTAGAGTGAACGTTACTCTATCGAATGATATAAGATATAAAAAGAATCGGTCACACTTTGAGAAAAATCTGAGATCCAAACTAAAATTAGTCGTACCACAAAAAAATATTCCTACTTGGTGGAGGTCATTGAGATTGTAATCGCCATAACTCTTGAAGGTCTTGTTGAAAAAATCTGCAATTTTGGCCCATGGCCTAACTTTTGACGGGCTTTCTACTGAGCACAAAAATCGGGAGAGGGTCAACATTTTTCAGGTGACGTCATGTCATAAAATGCTCGATTGAGTCATGGACCGTCTCTTAAATAGCAATCAAATAGCATAGAAAAATAGAGCAAACGATGTTCTATCTGTTCATAAAAAAAGAAATTTTTTTTAAGGATTCTATACGAAACTAAGATGTGAGGGGCCACTACTTTTGGATAGCCCTAAGTATATCTGATTGTATTGCCAAAAAAAAATCGACCAATTTGTGCGGTCATTCGAACCGCATCAGAACGTTGTGATATAACCAATGAAAAGAATAAAAATTGATATCATACAAATTTCAAACTAATAATTTCAATTGCATACATTAACTTTTCTTTTCTCGTGTTATAAATGACAAAAGGAATCAAAGAACTTGACAGTATTAATGATAATACTCATCACTAACACATATTGGAAAATGTTTAAATGATAGATATTCAAAATGTGATAATCTTGAACATATTATATACATGATGTATACAAGCAAATAAATGTTAGTGATTTTATAAATATTATTTTCTTTCCCGATTTTGTATTGAAAAAAAACATCGATCTATTATTTATATAATCGATTTTTAATAAATGAAACAAAGGATAAAGTTTTCGGATTGTATAATTATTACGAAATACTACGACGATATATCGTACTTTGTACTACTGGAATCACACTGAACGCCGATTGGTTGCAAAGAAAGATCGATAGAAAGACTTGTGTGGGACCGACCCTTTAGCAACCTAACGAGTCCATATCTATGAGAAATAAATTTTGCATCTCATAGACTATTTATTCGAAATCCCCGCCTCACACGACTCCCAAGAAACCAATTTCCCCAAAACTCGATTTTTGTGTGATATGGGTTACTCAGTAGAGCCACGGGTGCTCCAGTAGGATATCGAGCTCAATAGACTTCTGATTCCTAATGTCCTTCCTCCCATCATCCAGTGATATTCGTTTTCCCAAAAACTCGATTCCTATTGGTTTTGGGCTAATCAATCAGATTTTGAGGTGATTGGACTCCTAATTCGAACCTATCGCCTCTGAAAGCCCCTACCTGACTTTTTGCCCGAAAACGCAAGTTTGATTAGCTGGTTTCTTAGCAGCTGAATTCCTATTGGTTGCGGGCTAACCAATCAGATCTCAAGGCGATTGGACCCAGGATCCGAACTCACCGCCTCTAAAAACCCCTATCTCATCGTTTTCCCGAAAGTGTAGATGTTTTCTTTGCAGCTGAATTCCTATTGGTAATCAGCCAACCAATCAGATTTCGAGGCAAATGGACCGCAGATTCAAGCCCAGCATCCTCGAAAACCCCTAGGTACATGTCTTATGCTTGCTCACAACGTGCTGCTCAGTAGTTCTTCGATACTACCGAATGCTGCAATCTCATTGGTCAGATGCATAGACGGGCCTTTTGCGGGCGGAGGACCCATGTTTTTTCGACAAAAAGTAGTCGTTGACCTTCCCCTGGACCAAAGGATATACCATGCAAAGTTTGGTCGGATTTGCTCGTACGATGTGAAAATGCATGAAGAACAAACAAACAAACTTTCTTCTTTATATATATAATTAGATGATCTTGTTTAATAAGATACTTGACATTAATATCGAATGGTTTCATATTTTTATTCAAGTACTATTGATTATTCGTATGATGAAAAGGTTGCGTTATTGATTAAGATGAAAACCGATTTGGGCCTAATCTTCTATCAGTTGACTTATTTATTACATAGCCATCGAAAAATTGTGAGTTGAACAATAAGAAAAAAAGATCATTAAATGAACCTTGTGAAATATAATGTCATTTATATAATCACTCTCAAGATAGGTTTCTTTTACATCAAATTAAACATTAAATACAAAAACAAGAAGAGCTTAATTGGCGATGATTTATAGAATTGTTCTTGCTTCTCTTTATTATCAAAAGGACAATTAAAATTTCTCATTTTTAAAAATTAAATAATTTCATTTCATCTTTTTTTTGTTTATTCACGCAAATAAAAAGAAATGAACCAACAAGAAAAAGAAATCTGCACATTAACATGAATATATAAATTTTTTCGATATCTGACAAATGTAATGGAAAGCAAATATAAAATAAAAGAATAAAGTTTTTAAAGGATTGTATGTATCATAACATTAGTTATTTTATCAACAATATAGTACAAAAGAAGAAAAAAAGTTTGAAAAAAAATAAAGAAAAAAAATAAATTATTTTACTTGAGCTTCAGATTTATTTCGATATCTAAACATTTTCACATAAGACCTAGATGATTCAAGTGATCCAGCATTCTTTGACTCCTTAAAGATGTAAAATAAATTAAATATTTTTTTTTTTGTTTTGTTGTTTTTTTTTTATTAAATTACTTTTGTAAGAATTTGTATTTGACCAAAACTTGATATTATAACTGGTTCTTCTTTTAATTCTTCATATTCAATTTCCCAATCAACTTTATATAAATCAAAAAATAAAATTTCATTTACAAATAATACATGTCTAAAATAAAAATAATTCATTTAAATTAAATTATTAAATCAATTTTTTACTTTGATGTTGCCATTAACAATGAAGGGCTATCAGAACAATTAATATGTCCAATGTAGGGGTCAGATTTTGCATATTGTTCTTCTTTCAATCTCTACAGGATAATAAAAAGAGAATAGAAATATTTGAAATAGAAATCAATTTACATTTAAAATAATAACTCCCATAGCTTGTTGGGCAATCGATGGTCGAAAACGAGCTTCTTCTGTTTCTGCCCAACTAAGTATCGATTTATTCGAATTTAAATGAAGTGTTTCTTCTTGAGTTATATCATTTACTATTGATAAACTAATATCATGAATATCAACAAGTGGATCCAATGATTCATTATTATCATCATCATTATTATGAATAGAAACTATAACAAATATACTTAAATATTTGTTTTATTAATGTTACTTTACTCACTGTCATCCAGCCATTGTTGTACACAACTATCTTTATCGAAATTGATATCATCGATAAAAGGATCTCCTCGATGATATTGTAAATCTAATGAATTGGACGAAGATTTGTGATGATTCTTGTCATCACCATCTTCCTTGGGGCCTTCAGAATAAAATTGTCGAATACGTTCCGCTTCTCGTAAACTAGCTTGTGCAACTGCTTGTGTAACTGCTTGTATCGATATATCTTTCAACAGCTGGTTGATGTATAACATTTCATTTATACCAAAAGAACCAAGCGATTCTTTCTTATGCATTGAGTTATACCAATCATCTTTTAGTGACTTTAATGTAGGTACAAGAATTAAATAACAATTACGAATAGAAGTTGATTTACAAAATACTTTTTGAAAGTCGATTGATGCTTTATCAGGTAAAGTTAATGTAGACGAAACTGCTAACAATCGTTTTAATAAAAAATCCCGTTCTAATTCTGGAAATACTTTATCTTCATCCTTTGGATCGTTTCCATTGAAAGTTGCCATCGCAAGGATTTGAATTTCATCTTCTTTGACGTCCCAAACTAAACATGGACGTGGAGTAGGTGATTTTTGTTGTGATGATGATAATGATGCTGTTGATGAACTGGTGCTTCTTAAGGACTTGAACGAAGACGATTTTAACAATGATTTTGGTGTAATGCCAAACAAAATTTCCACACCTCGTGTGAAATAATAAATATTACCAGGTAATGGCTTGTTTGATGTTGCTATAAATAAAATTATATTAAAATACAGAAGAGAGTAGAAGATGAAATATATCAGAGCTGGACAAATCAACTCAAAAAGGCAATGAATTCAATTTGATTCATTCTCATGTTATTGAATCTGACCAGATTCTGTGAGATTCGATTACCCGACAAAATCTGATGACAAACTAAATCATGAAATTACTAGTGGCTCTAACGGTAGGATTTCGTCATATATCCGATGTCATTCCGAAACTCGGCTCCCCTCAATATTTCTATAGAAACCTAGCGAATTTTATAGGATTCTAATGGGATCTAATAATATCCAATCAAAATTCGATTGAATCTGAGCGTTGGATTGGTTCTTATGAATAGGAAAAAAATTTCAGCTCTATTCAATTCAATCCAACCGATAAATTCTGAAAAATTTTGTCAATTCAATTCAATTCAATCCATGGATTGAAATGAATTGAGTTAAATTTGCCGCTTTCTTTTAACTGAGTTGTCCAGTTCTAGAAAATACTGATTTTTTTAATATATACACACTTGAAGATACTTTTTCTTTCATATTTCTTTTAATTTTGATTTCTTCATCTTCGTCGGTTTTTTTTCTCTTCGCCTGTTCATAAGCAGTCTAAACAAAAAAAAATTAATAATTTATTATAAAATATTTTTTATTTGTTTAAATTTACTGCAATCTTTTGAAAACTTTGTTTCAGTTTTTTATTTTCCTTATCTTCACCGTTTAGTGCACCAAACACTTTTGTTGTTCGATCAAATTCTTCATCAATATCTGAAATACATTTATCCCAAGCACTATCCATTCCTGTGATTGGCATTGAAGTGTTCTAAAAAGACAAATAAATATTAATATCAACATGACTGCAATTCACCCTTTATAGAAAAAAAAGTAGAACGACGACAGAAATACAAACAAAATCTCTTATCCATTACACAATAAAATACGAATCAAAATAGATTACAAATAGTAATAATTATCGATCTATTATTCTATTGGCGAATGATTAAGGTATTAATCTGTTAATCAATATAGCTAGCTTAATGAAAGGAATATCTACAAAAATATATTCTTATACGATAGAGATATCTATCACGGTCATAACAATAGGAATCTCTGCATCACTGTCGTCAGAGATGAGTCATTCTGACCATGTAGAACTTTAAATCCACGTCAAAATGTTGATCTATTTTTGCTGCTCTACTTCAACTCCATCATGTTTTTAGCGAGGTAAAAATACCAATACCACCAACATAAATAGCATTTAGTATTGATATCGGTACATCTCTATAGGTCATGAGTATTTCCGGTGTAAAACAATTTGAACAAAACACCTTTAAAATCACTTTGAAAGATGACAGAAGAGCAACAGATGAAAATAACTTTCTTTTAGTAGAATTTATTCTATCAAGTCTGATTTAACTTCAAAAGCAATGATGTTTCCTTTTTCATAACTAATGGATAACAATTGAATTTTTCGACTTGTCCGACAAAACATACTCGTATTTTCTCGATAAGTTCTTCCATTGATTTTGTTACTGTTTTTGTTCTTTCGATGTATTTGTTTCTTTTCTTTCTTACTAAATTCTCGATTAATGTTTTAATTTCAATCATTTGTTCATAAACAACGTTGAGAAAAGATAAACTCCGAATTCTATAAAACAAAAAAGAAATGTATAAAAAACCGATAGTTTTTCAATATTTGCATACTGTGGAGCATATTGTTTATGCTTTAAATACATTCTAATATAACTTTGTATTGTTAATAAACGCTGTCGTAAATATAAAAAAATTAAACAGGGCATTATACCTATATTAAATAGAAATTAAATTACTTGAAATGATTAAAAACAAGAAGAATTTTTTACCACTATGATGTAATTGACTGAGAATGTGTTCATTATCAAACACATTTGGACTCATTTCCATATTAGATGTGATACATTGGATGAAATGAACATCCTATAATAATATAATCATATCTATAGAGCTAGAAGTTTTCAATTATTATTTAATACATGAAACTATCCGTAGATCTCTGATTTGTGAAAAGAACTATTATAAAATTTTAAATTGATCAAGTTATTTTGCATATATATTAAACAAGAAGAATAAAAATTTATTGAACTAAATGAAATAAATTAGTTTTTGAAAACTAGCTGAAGTATGACAGTCATAACGATTATTAATCATATTCTCATTGGTCAAACAGTGGTACTGTTGAATGAGCAAATATAAATAAAACTTATACAGTAGTTTTCAATTTGTTTATAAGATTAATTGATTGTGATTGGATCATTGTACCAACCGAAACACATTTAAACCGATCTGCATTTTGTTCACGTTCAAGTATTTCGTGAAAGAGATTTTCGAGAAAATCATTTTTACATTTTTGTATAAGGGTAATAAGAGAATAAGGTAAAATATCAATATTTTTTTCAATAAATTGAGTCTAAAACATTGAATAAAAAAATCAAGTGGCAAAAGAGCGAAGTAAACATAAATATACATACTGTTGAATAAGAAACATCACCAAAAAAATGTTTAATAAGAAAATCATGATTATCAGGAACTTTACGTGTTGTTGTAACTGATCTTAATATTTGTAGAGGCTAAATGAAAAAGAATAGGAATATATATATGTATATACCAATAAATTCATCACAAGATTCATTCTTACC